CTGGACTCAATCTTCCCTGTCCCCATCATCACCCCGTAGCTGCCTGTCTCAGTAGGCTCCATCCCTAGCTCCTCCGCCACCTGGGTGGATATGAAATTGTGGGTTGCCCCGCTGTCAATCAGAACCACAACCTCTCTCCCCCGAATCTCCCCCTTCACCTTCATTGTATGGCTAGGAGTGAATCCCATCACAGAATTGAGGGAGACTTCGGCTACCTCCAACTGTGGATCAATCTGCTCCTCATCAGAATCATCACCCTCTTCAGGCGCCTCGTCTATATAGACGGTGAGAGCCCGAAGAGCGCGATCCTTGCATCTATGCCCTGGAACAAACTTCTCCTCACATCTGAAACAAAGGCCCTTGGCCCTCTTCTCCTGCATCTCCTCCTCAGTCAATTTCTTGAAGCTTCCTGCAGTTCTAGTCACTCCGCTCTTCTCCTTTCCACTCTCTCTAGGGACACTAGGGCTTGGCCCTTTTGGAGCCAAGTAAGTGGTAGTTGTCCTGGTGGGACCCCCTGAGTGGTTGTTCCGCCAACTTCGGGCGTTGGTCTTCTGGTTCTCCACCAACTGAGCTAACTCCATTGCCTCCCTCAGATCTCTTGGTCTCATGACCTTCACTGCATCTCTGATCTCGGGTTTGAGGCCCTTCATAAAGTTCCCCCCCAACGTACTGTTTGATAGGCCCTCCATGTCTCCCACCAAGCTCTCAAATTTCTTCCTGTATTCCTCCACTGTTCCCTCTTGAGTGAGGGCGTAGAACTGTTCTGATATCTCCCATGGGCTGCCCCCCCTGAATCTCTCTCTGATGGCCTCCTTGAAATCCCTCCACGTTCTCACCGGATCCCACTTATCCATGTACTTGAACCAGGCAAAAGCCGCCCCTTCCAAGCACATACTAGCCGCCATCAATCTCTCCTCCTCCATCAGGCCATTCACTGCAAAATACCTCTCCACCTTGTGGATCCACTCATCCACATTCCCCTCTTCGAAAACTGGCATTTTCAGCTTCCTGGCCCTCGTGTCCATCCCGTACGCCCTGTTTCCCCCATGACCTCCTCTGTCCCAAGCAATGGGATCTTCCCAAGTTCCTCTCTCTCCATATCGGGGCTCATCATCCCTCCTCGGCCGTCGATAGCCATCTTCCCCTCGCGCCCCGCCATGGTGGTTATGGATCCCCCATGGCCGGTCCACTGGGTCGGGCCTCCGACGACGCCAATCATCCTCTCTTTCTTCCCTGAAGTCTCTCCTTCTTTCCTGCTCTTCCCTCCTGATGGACTCCCGATGTAGCATTCTTCCGTTGCTACCAAGCAGTTCCACCTCCTCTTCCCCTTCCGGCCTTGCCTTCTCCTTACCCTTGCTCCCACTACCTTCTCCTCTTTCCTCCGCTGGCACAGCTCTTGCTTGCCCTTCCAACAACTTTTTCATCATCTCCTCCAATGCCATGAATTTCCCTTCCATATTCTCACTCAACGTCGCCATCTTCTCCTCCAGATCCGCCTTAAATTGACCCACTTCGGTCTCCAAGACTTCTACACGTTTAGATGCCATGGGAACCACGAAATGGTCTCCGGATCTCTTCCGAAAAGCAAAAATCTGCAGCGAAACAGTGGAAAACAGCCCCCCACCGTCCGGATCTTGGCTCTGATACCAATTTGATAGGAAATACTCGTTTGCACAAGTAAACCTAACCCAAATCAAATACCTAAGCCAAGTAAACTGCTGTCCGCAGCAAGAACACAGCTCAAACAGTGAAAAAACTGAGAGAAAACGTAGGGAGAAACGTAGAAAAACGATGCAAACGCTTTTATTTCAATAAAGGATGAAAAGCACTTGCAAGATACAACTTTCCTTCAATTCGAGAGGAAGGAAAAACTCTCCAACGATCTCCGGCAATGCCAAGAGCCCAAGAACAACAAACCCTAGATCTCCCAAGAAATTCAAAATCAAGATCCCCTCAATTTCCCTCATAACTCCCTATTAAAACAATCTAATACAAAATAAAAGCAAAAGGACTTCTCTACCCTTCCTTCTCCCTCCAAAAACACTTAAGCCATGTTTGAATTTCAAGTGGACCCCACCCCAGCCCCCCTTGAAGCTTCCGCCGGCTCCCAGGCCCGGCTCCGCCTCGCATAGACTTGGACCGGCTGGGCCGGTCCAGGTTGAGCCGGTCCATGCTGGACCGGTGTAACAGAATACTTGTCAGGAAAATGAGATTAAAATACCTTTTATGTTCACCAATGTTTTTAGCCTCATTTGACTGGGGTATCGATTCTTAGAATACTCGTCACGTAAGAGAATAATATGTTAAGTGCTTGTGCACAACGTTGAGCCACATTATAATAGATTTTATCAGTACAAGGTAACATGGTAACATTTTGAACTTTGTGCATGTAGTGTGTAAGTTATTTAATAGTTACTGCCAGTGATAGTGTTAGTGCAATAAAACGTGCATTTTTTTCCACCTAAAAGGATTATTTTGTTTTTTCTTGCTTGTGTTGGTGAGTCTTTTGCTTGCTTTATTCATTCTTGCTTATCTTGTTTTTGGGAAAATACTTCACTAGATTTCTTCTTAGTTCATCATTTTGTGATTGTATTTGACTACCATCTGTTTAATAAAATAATAATTCTCATACTCTATTGAGGATCTCTCTATCTCTTTCATATTTTAGTTGGTTAAGGGTTTTAATGGTTTCATTAATTTATGTTGTATGATCATTAAATTCTAAAAATTTCAAAAGGTATGTTCAAAATATAATTTTTTGTTAAATTTTATTATGAAAATAAATTAGGATATGAAATAACTTTGTTGACATATTGTGTTAGTTACAAGTCATAGTATCAGACATGGTATGTAATTGGTATCAATTATTCTTTTTGACCTATTTTGAAAATTTTGGGGAAATTGATCTGAATCAGTTGTGCACCACAAGGGAAAATTTGTAAATTAAATGAATCCCAAACCAAGAGAAAGGATGTACTTTTAGATAAGAAATTTCTTTGCTTAGTCCTTTCGATCAAGGACAAAGGAAAGCAAAAATGGATGGAGAAGCCTTAAAAGCAGTAGCTTGATAGTAGAAACTAGAAAGAGCATAAAGGCATAATCTGCTGACGCTAAATTGGATTCCACAAACGTTTGCATGGTTATTTATATTTTTGTATATAATAGACTTAAATAATAAAAAGTATTATATATTTTATTTTGCATTTCATAGAAAACCTAAATGATAAAAAAATGTATTATATATGTTAATTTATTTATTTAATTATGTGATTGCAGCATATTGTTTGTAATAATAGTTATTAAACCTAATGATATTTACTTATTCGAAATTTTTTTCACTTTATTTAACTCATAATTTTGTTAAATAAAAATTATATTATTTATTTTTGAGGGTTTACATTAAAATTTAAAACAAGTTTTTTGAAGACATGATTTAAACAATGTCCATCTTCTTTGCAAAGTTCAAATTAAAAATTATCCCATATCAGTTGAACAAGCCTGGTTGGTTTAGTGGTTAGTAAGTTAGCACCAGTTGAAGAAGTTGGTTGGTTTAGTGGTTAGTAAGTGAGCACCAGTCGTAGAAGTCTGGTTGGTTTAGTGGTTTAGTGGCTTCTTATGTTCGGATTTGATAGTGGAATGCACATAGTAGAGAGAATTTTTCTTACTGCGATGATTTTGCCTGATCCCAGCAAAACTCTCTGTTTTATTTGGCTCCGTGTCCACCAAAGCTGGTCTAGATTGGTTTTGGCTGACTTTTGAAGCCATGGCTTCTTTTATTTTCTATTCTCCTTAACCCCACATAGTGGGATAAAGGCTTGATGTTGTTGTTGTGTTAGCATAATGTTGCTCTTTCATAACTTTATGGTTATAAACTCGTTTTTTATGAAAGTATGTCTAGGTTTTCATGGTTCTATGTTATGTAATCATTATTGTACCTGATTTTTGTTCAATTATATAGGGTGATGGTTATGTGCTTTTAATTAGGTTTTATTGAGAAGAATGACCTTATTTGAGAAAAACTGCGCCACTTCTATGGAAAAGTTATAACTAATATAAATAGATTGCCCGTATCTGATGCACCACTTTACTTTATCTATTTCATTTTAAAGAAAAAAGATATGCGTTTGCTATTTTTGTTGGTAGCACATTTCTAGTGTTCCTGCATTTATTCTTTGTCTAGTATCTCCATTTTACTTAATTCACCAGGGGAAATTATCTTTAAGTTGACCTGGTTATCTTTTTTTATTTTTAGCAACAGCTACCAGGTTTTCTATCCTTTTGCTTTCTCTTCTCCTGCTGGTATTTTAAACATTCTTGAGAAAACTGGACTGTTTGTAATTCAACATCTAACTTACCTGTTGTTTAGATGGACTAAATTAAAAACTGTTGACTTCAATCACACATCATTAATTAGGTTTCTTGTACTAATTTTTATTAAACTAAATATTTTTTTGGAAATAAACTAATGAAATTCATGCAAGATATATTTTTTTCTCAATAATTTTGTATATTTAATTTATATTACACAACTAAAATAGTTTCCTGACTTTTTTAAGTGTATTTTTTAGTCTTAGATTTTTACAGTGTTTAATTAGTCCCTTAATTCACCAAAACTGAACAATTTTGGTCCTACCGTTAACTTTGCTGTTTATTTGTATGAAAACTACGGGAGGAAAGTTTTTTCATGAGGGTAATTTGGACATTTGAAAGTCAGGCTCAGTAGATATTAGCTCCAATTAACAGGATTGACTCTAAAATGTTCATGATGGTTTCATGAAAAGTTTCTCTCCACTAATTTCCATCCAAAATATGACAAATTTGATGATAGGATTAAATTGGTTTAGATTTAATGATTTGAGGGACTAAATTGAACACCTAAAAAAAGCTTATGACTGAAATTGATACAGTTAAAAAGCCAAGGGATTATTTTCATCATTTGCTTGTTTAAAATTCTTATCCTCTAATTATTTTCCTTCTTTACCATAATTTATGAGCAATAGGTTCTTATGGATCAACTCTACGATACAAGAGCGTGGAACAGATAAAGCCTATTGGTAAACATACTCTACTTGGTGCAAGTGGAGAAATTAGTGACTTCCAAGAGATCTTGCGTTATCTTGATGAACTAATGTAAAGTCCATTGAATCTTCTAACTTAGAGTTTTACAAGAAGTATGATAATATTGCATTTCTTTCTTCTGTTGCCTGTCTTACAAGAAGTGTGATAATTTTATTGTCTACAGTATTTATGATCATATGTGGGATGATGGAAACTCTCTGGGCCCTAAAGAAGTACATAACTATTTGAATCGAGTAATGTACAACAGGCGCAACAAATTCAACCCTTTGTGGAACTCACTTGTGGTTGGTGGAGTTAAAAATGGACAAAAGTATCTGGGGATGGTCAGAAAAAATTTGCTTTAGTCCAATGTTTCCTCTTTTGTTCAATAAAATCTTTTTGTTTGTCAACATGATATGGCAATTTTATTTACTGCTTTCTAGGTTGGCATGATTGGAACACATTATGAGGATAACCATGTTGCAACTGGTTTTGGAAATCATTTGGCAAGGCCAATTATGCGTGCTGAATGGCGTGAGGACTTGACCTTTGAAGAGGCTGTAAAAATTCTAGAGAAATGCTTGCTTGTGCTTTTATACCGTGATAGATCAGCTATCAATAAATTTCAGGTATTATTTTAGTTTGACTTTATTTTTTTGGGCATGACTTGGTATCATCATTCTTTGTTTTATGCTATTGATTGAGAACAAACAATGGGTGGGGAATGGTTGAAGGAGAAGAGAAACAGTGGAGAATGATGGATTAGATAGGGAGGAGAATTTTAAGAGGAAAAAGAGGTTACTTTTATTTAATCCAAGCTTTAATTCATCAATCAGCAGGGAGTCCCAATGAAAAGGAGTTAGGAGCCTAGCCTGTAAACTATTAAAACACAACAGGATTTGATAATTTTCAAGAATTCTTAGGTTTACTTTCCTGCTTCATAAGGATGCTATAAAACCTTTGAAAACCACCCAAATTAGTAAATGATGCATTAAAACTCAAGAGATCAAACACATCCATTGGAAACCTTAATGGAACCCTTCGAGAGTCTCTTTTTGACTTTTTTTTTACTAGTTAATTCCATGAAAGGTCGTAAAGCTCTATTGTTCATTAATCTTTATTGAATGGAAAGAATTCTGACTTTGACGGTGATCAAAGAATTATCATAACATTGTTGGTGCCAAGCCATGATGCTTTTCCAAAGAAAATCCTAGTACAATTAATTTGGATGGTCTTTTCAATTAATGAGAAAGTGTTGAAAGGGCTTTGTAAGGTCAATTTGATCATTAAGAATAGCGTTCATGACATTAGTGGTTACTTAGGTGGACGGTTATCTCCAAAAGCACTTGTACAATGGAGGTTGAAAATTCATAAGTGGCACAATAAGCAGTGCTACGGTGCCATCATGTACATTAAATCATACACTAATATTTTGTCAGAGGTATTATTTGTATTAGACCAAACCCATGAATATATGAATAAGAACCAATGACTTGAGCATACCATCTTCTGGGGTTTCTAGGAAGCATGACATGCGAAGCATGACACAATGATCAGCTTGAAGCTCTTGACCTTAAGCATCACCACAACAAGTTTGCAATTTTTATTAATCGGGGCAATTTGGATATGCCGGGGAAAATAATGGTGCGGTTAAAAAATATGGTAATTAAATGAAAAGGGTATTTGAAGATTTTATGGGAGGTATAGCCATGGACTTCTAAAATTGCTCTTTTAGTAGTGTGCTTGATGAAATTTCTGTTCACAAACTTGTCAAGTACTATTTTTCTATATACTCCCTAATTAAGCATTGAAGTATTCAAACTAAAGAATTATTGAAAATAGGTATTTCTCCTTTAATTTGGGCTGAAAGCTGAAGAGAACTTTAATGTGATGCCAAATAATTTGGATTAGATTCTATGACGATATTTGACAAAATTTACATCCGTTATCATATCATGGTTGAGGGCAAAGACCATACAAGTTAGCCAATTTGCTTAGGAGCAACTCCACAATTTATGATTACTAGGACCAAGAATGTGGCTATTTTGGAGAATCTTTGACAACTATCATAGTATCATCAGTAACGGGGGTTGTTCTAAGAAAGTCAAAAATATATTTGGAACTTTAATCTATCCATTGAAGTTGTGTACAGAACAACATTCTGTGCACAGATCTTTTAGTGGCTTAACATATGCAATATTTTGACTCCATCATTTAACGCTGCAATTTAGTGAAATATTAGATTTCTCTGTCACAACTTGGGTGTTTTGTCATGTTCTAAATTGCAGAGTAACCTTTTTTGTGTTTGGTTTACAATAAAGTAGATTCAATTACTTTAAAAGTTCATTCTCTTCATAAATCTTTTGCAAAATGCAGCGGAATAGAACTTGTTTTTTGGGATTTAGTTTACAGTGACTATTGGCAATGAATAAAGCACCTTTAGAGGACCCCTGAATCATCTTACGTGTTTTTTCTAAATAAGATAGTATTACGGGAAGACTAGGAAATGTAACTAACCTATTGGATCAGGAAGGAAAGCATTCCTTAACAAGAATATGACATAACCATACTAATTTCAATATTTAACATCTTGATATATGATGCTAAAGTGCCTAGAACTGATTATGCTTATCTTTCATTGTTTTTCAATTTCTATCTCTTTGAAGCTCAAGGCATTTAGAATTTTAGCTATATGACCTAGGACATAGATTACCTTATTTTTTAGCATAAAAAAATACTTATTACACCACCAGAACTTGCTTGGCATGCCCATTATTTCTTTGAAAATTTATTTTCTTCAAAGTTTGGTTAGAAATGTAGGTATATTCTTGTGGCGAGAGTCAGTTCTGGAAGTACCTTAAATAGTAAAATGTAGCACATATGCAGACGTTTGTCACGAGTAAATTACCATTTACTGTATTTCTATTCTTGTTGAAAGAAAGTTATATTTTACCCTTGTAGGCTTTATTCCCCAAATTTCTATTTTGAGGCATGATAAGCTATTTTGATGGGCTAATATAAGTGAAATTTTATTAGGATAGAAGTTGATGTTGATTTCAATTTGATTTCCGTGAAAGGCCTTTTTAGGAGTTCAATAAAAAAGCTAATCTTTTTTGTGAGTCTACATAATGACCATTAAATTCTTGAATTAAACTCTTTTAAAAGAAACAAACCTCTATTCTCTTGGATAAGAATATCATTATATTTAAATGTTTGTTAGGATTGAACATGATCATATTTGCATTTAGAAGTTTGGCCTGATCTTTCTAACAACTTTTTCATAAATAGGGGTTCATGATGTACATATTTGTTACTAATTAATGATTAAATAATAGAATTTTTTTATGGTTGATTGAGTGTTCTTGATAAGTAAGCTGTGTATGTGGATCGCTTTTTCAAGATCTTATCCCCCCTCCATTAAATTTTGATTTTTGTGGCCAATTGAGTGATTTCTATAACCAAGTTGTATATGTGGTTTCGGATCAAAATTTGTTCTTAGGTGAAGAGAACCATATTTAGGGTTTCTCGAGGTTTTTGTTGGCAGTTAGAGTAGAGAGAGAGAGGGCTTAGTGAAACCTGAGAGCCTGGAGATAGGCCTTAGGATTTATTACCAGCATAATATCTATAGGATAACTGTGTATCCCAGAGGGAGAACATCAAAATAGCTCTTTGATCCTCTATTTATAAGATTTTGATAGCTACAGGAAAAGCCATATAATCATAATAAAATACCTCTTGATGCCTAGGGATATGGCATAAGATATGTAGCCAAGATAATGTAATAAAATGAATAGATATGTAATGTTAACTCATAGACAACTTCTGATTGGTGCTAAATTTTGATTGGTGAGGACAACATAAAGAGTTCATGATTCGTTATATGAACTTTCCAACTCCCTAGACAATATTCCTGACTCGATGGACATGGTCATTGGCTTACCAAAAAGTGGGTTGTTGATTTGCTAGATGGATTCGCCTACTAGATAGAAACCCTTAGCTTGTAAAAGGAAGTCGTTGACTTGCTATCAGTTTGTTGTAGGAAATCATTGACTTGTTGCCTCCTTGATGGAGGAAGTAGTCGACCCATTAGAAGAGGTCATTGACTTGCAAAAGAAACATGCTGAGTATTTTCACATGTTGATTACCTCATTAATCAAATGATTCTTGCAAAAGTTTGAACGGGATTGACTTAGCTTGAACCCATCTTGAGATATTTGGGTGTGCATTTAGCTTCCTGATTCTCTTGTATCTTTAAAGTCTAACTTGGAAAAAGAACAAAAAATAGAGTAAAAAATATTTATTTTTGTCTGAGTCAACAATAATCATTTTGGCTTAACATTTTTATTCGACTTTTATATAGAGAAATTCTAAAAATACTTCCGTGTCATTTAGTTTCTTACTTTGTAAACTCTCAATGTTAGCCTCAGACTTTTTTTCACCCTAGAGCCATGGATCACCTTCCAAAATTCTCAATAATGGATATTGCTCATATACTTTTGCAAAGGAATAAAGATAGAGAGGCCCATAGAAATAGTGGGGAGACCTCTTTGCTTCCTCTATAAAAGGTGACGGAAGTAGTTGATGAGAGCAGGAGGAGAATTGAAGTTCAAGTTTTTGTTGTCAGTGAACTTGAAAAGTCCCTCTTAGAGGAGTCTTGCTGTTGCTTTTCTTTGTTGAGTTTGACTTGGATGGAGGCCGCAAAATGACCTTTAGGCATATTCTTATGATGTCCTAGGGTCAAATTGGCGAAGTTGTCATGGAAAATAATTCAGGTTGAAAAAATCTTATTGAGTTACCTACTTCAAATCCTTCGGGTCCAAAAAATATGATCTTGGCTCATGACTTTGAGATTGTGAAGCAAATAATGGATGACTTCCAATCGAAGTTCTGGGCTAAGAAATCAGAGATGACCAAGAAGATTGTCGAGATTCAAATTTTTGGGGAGTTTAATATGATTTTCTTTAATAATTTGTTGGAGAGAGTTGCAACTCTAGTTGGCTATTTGGTAGTCATCTCTGCTGAAGTTCGTCAATGACATCAAGTTTGAGCTGAGTAGTATAAAAGGTAAGATCTTGATGCTGCAAAGGAACTCAAATTATTATTCATAGGTGGATGGATTTACTAGAGGTGCTGAGTTCTTACTTTGGCACCTTTCGTCGGGGCTTAGTCTCTATAGAGGCGCTCTTTGATCTAGTCATAAAAGCTATACTAAGAGGGGTAACTTTTTTAAATGACAAGTTTGATAAGGTATTGACCACTACATTTCACCGAGGTTGATGCTTGTAACTACCCTATTATTTGAATAATATTCTATTATTTTACTTGTGATTTGTCTTTCTTGTCATTTCAAATTTCTATAGTCATTTGTTCATGATTTGGCTATGATTTAGTTAGGGAAATAATGAAATGCCTTGATTTTCACCAACAATTCAAGTACTGGAACGATTGAGAGGCCTCATGTTCTTGCACTTTCTTTTATAAATAGCTTGTGGTTCTTCCATATAAACCTTTTTGAGTGATTAAACCTCCAAGAATTATTTTCCCCTTTGATGTGAACCTATCTCAAGCTTTTCTCAACTATGCTGACAACTTTTTAGCTTCTAATTGGGTGTACGTCTCATTGGTTTTCCAATTCAACATGCAGTCGATGATCCTTGAATATGAGCTTGTCGAGGGTTTCACTGTTCAAGCTCTAGGAGAGTATCCTAACTCAATAAAGGAAGATGACTTATGCTTCTATAGGGACTAATTTTGCCTTGGACTGCGGCTAGCATTCTTCTTGAAGTATAGGCAATTATGTGTTATTATGACTACCATTTTATAGTTGATCTACCCTCTTACAAGTAAATCACCTATAAAAGATATTATTGCATATACTTTTATTATTTGTTAAATTGTCTTTGAAGCTTTCTCTTCTTATAATCTATGTTGCACCGATACACCTATTTATGAAGGCATGCTGTATCAGATACACCGACACACAGATACGCCTCCGATACGCCACCGATACGTGTCGGATACAGCAAAGCCGTATCCATTTAAAATACTATTTTATTTCAAAAGGACACGCGTATCCGATACACGTGTTCGTTGAAAAACAAAAAGAAATCCGAAAAAAAGACGCGTCGTATTTACTTCCACAGTTGTGAGGAAGGTTCTCTCATTTCCAAGATGGATTTGAGTCTCTTGATGATATGAGAATATTAGAAATTACTAATCTTTCACTTGATGAGCCTGAATTAGAAGATATGATATTTATTGAAGATGATATAGAAGTTCAAAGACAAACCAATGAAGAAGCTAATCATATCATTCCTTCTATTGAATAGTTGAAACTTCATGTGCTAGATAATTTATGTTTATGCTTTTGTTGTTGTACTAGACATTTAATGCTTACTTATATTTTGATATTATAAGCTACAAGGCTACAAATGAGGTTGTTGTCATTTTTTTTGTAATTTCAAATATTATGCTTTGATTGCTTTCTTAATTTTTATGTATGATTTATAAATTATAATGCCGTGTCCGTGCCGTATCCGTATCCTGTATTTTTAAGAATTGACATGTCCCGTATCCGTATCGTGTCGTATCCGTATCGTGTCGTATCCGTATCGTGTCGTATCCGTGTCGCCGTATCTGTATCGGTGCAACATATCTTATAATTAATAAAATATCTCACGCCATTCTAGAGTTATTTGAACTAGGATGGACATAAGCCAAATTGAATGAGTTTTTGAAAGGCATGCTGGAGAAGAGTCCTATTCTTTTGTAGGTTAAAAAGATGGCGATGAATGTCTCAAGAGCGACTCTTAGGGCTATTTTTTTTTTTCAGGTTTTATGTTGTATGTCCTATATGTATTAACTTTTTGGGAAATGAAATGAAAAATATAACTGATGTTTTCTTTATTGCTGAGTTAATTACTTTTGAATATTATGAATTTGTTTGTTGAATGTTGATCTTAGTTGAGTGTGATAAATTCTTCAATGTCTTATGGGCGAATAGAACTTGCTGAGTAAAATGAGTTCTCGAATAATGAATGATAAAGTTGTTTCCTTTCCTCTACTTGGTTATGGGATTAAGTTGTTGCCTTGGACAGGTCTTACCTTTTAGCTGACTTCAGTCTTTGAGGGTAACTATCCATACTCATTTAGGAGAATGGACTTCCGCATTATTCAATACGAACTTGGCCGCAGAGGATGGAATCAATTCCTAAGTCTAGGCTTTGTTTTCACACTATTATGGAGTTGGACGAGTTGCTTGAATTAATAATGAAAGATCAAAGAGATTTAGTTTCTTGAGTGCAAGCAGAAAAGGATAATTTACAAACAAACATGTTCCTGAGTTGAACTTCCATATTTAAAAAGTCAGTGCTCTACATAATAGAATTCCCAAAATATTGAGCAAATTAGTTGAGCGGGATGCATCTCAGACTATGTTGGTGAGTTCATCATATTTTTATTGAATTCATAGCAAATTAAGTGGTTTTACTACGAATGAGTTAAGAAGTTTTGAATTTGAGTAAATAAGATCTTACTAGTTGTACACTTGTCAAAAAACCATGTAATTGACTTAGAAGGTTATGTAAATTTTTGAGTTCGTGAGATTTTCTTTTTTCCTTGATGAAATATTGGGGAAGTGTAAAAGATGATTTCACCAAGCATAGAATATCCCTCTACCTAGTGGCTTTGAGCTGTTTTGCAACGAATTTTCTTCAAAAGTTTTGCTCTTATGAATTGTGCATAGCTAAGAGTTTTGTATGCATCTCAGACTGTGTTGGTGAGTTCATCATATTCTTAGCAAATTCATAGCAAATTAAGTGGGGTTTACTACAAATAAGTTTAGAAGTTTTGAATTTGCATAAATAAGAACTCACTAGTTGTGCACTTGTCAAAAACTAAGTAATTGACTTAGGAGGTTATGTAATTTTCGAGTTTGGTCGATTTTCTTTTTTCCTTGATGAAATCTTGGGGTCAAGTGTAAAAGATGATTTCATCAAGCATAGACTATCCATCTACCTAGAGGATTTAAGCTCTTTTGCAAGTAGTCTTGTAGTTTTTAGTCTTGAGCCTATGTTGAGATCAGTTGAACCCTGAGCATATGTTAGCCAGCCGTTTACTTAACTAGTTTTGTATTCCTTTAGGAATAAGTTTTTCTAATATATATATATACACACAGACATACACATATACACATATTTATGTATATGTATATATATATACACATATTTGACTTTTAAGCGGACACAATGGTGAAAAAAGATTCATGTAGCCGATCCCACATAGTGGGACAAGGCTTGATTGTGTTGTTGTTGTTGTTATATGTACATATAACAAATTCTCTTCAAAAGTTTTGGGTCTAATGAATTTGGCGTAGGTAAGAGTTCTGTAAGACAACTCCATGTTCTGTAAGACAACTCCATGGGCTGAGATCCTTGGATAAAGGGTGCTCTCTTGAATGCGAGTTCTTGATCGCATTTGCGGATGTGTTTTGATGGCCTTCTAGTCCCATATTTATGTATATGTATATTAGAAATGATCTTTCTTTATTTGATTTAAACGAGAATTTTACTTTTAACATGACGCAATAGAGAAAAAGAATGTAGTCGACCCCATGTAGTGGGATGAAGGCTTGTTGTTGTTGTTGTTGTTGTTGCATTTGTTAACGCTCACCGCACCTAAAAGGATGTTAGATTCAATTTTTTTGTTGGTGATGTGAGATCACATTCATAAGATTTTGTGAGATTTTAGCAAGCCATCAGAGTAGAGAGAGAAATAGAGAGAAAGAGAGAGACATAGAGAGACAAGGCCTAGAGGAGCTTGAGAACCTAGAGTCTTTGAGAGTTATTTATAAAATTTTGGGCACTATAGGAATGTCATACATGAATAATAAAATACCTTGCGAGCCACAAGGCTTTGTGAGGTTTTAATTGGCCATCAGAGACTACAGGGTCTTTGAGATTTATTTATAAAATTTTTATAAGAAAAGCCATACCAAAATAATAAAATAGCTAGTGATGCCTGAGATGTGTGGCCTAAGACATGTAGTCAAGAGAATATAATATATAGATTTCATGTGGACCGTTGACACATGGACAACTCATGACTGTTGCTCAAATTTCGATAGGCGAGGATGCCATGAAGAGTGTCATCTGATGGATGGATTTGCCAACTCATTGGATGATGTCACTAACTCTATGGATGATGTCGTCCAATCTCTAAATTTGGAGTTGCCTACTCGCTAGATGGACTCATTGAACAGATGGAAGCCATCGGTTTGTTGAAGGAAGTTAAGTTGCCTATTTATTGGAGGAAGTCATCAATTTTGCTACCGACTTTTTGGAGGAAGTCGTCGACCCACCGGAAGAGATTGCTAACTGTAAAAAGAACTTGGCTAAGTTTCCACAAATACCTGTAGATTCTCGCACTAATGGATTAATTTAGTCAAAAAGATTGAACGTACCTGAGATATTTGGCTGTCCACATGAATTCCTCCAAATTATATAAGCATGATTTTATTGCTCCGTCTTCATCAAGATTCCAGCGTCAATTATTTCTAGTGTTATTCTTGCGATGCAATTGTTTCTATACCTCGTTACTCATGCTTTTGTTTATGGAACTGAAGATGACGATCTTAATGGACAACATGAATGGCTCATCATGCTTTGAGGCTATTTACGGGATTGAAATGGTGCAAACAGTCTCTCTTGTGGACAATCCATGCAAAAATGCAGCATATACTGCACTGTTTATCTTATTTTCCAGTAGATGAAAATTTTCTGTATCTTGCTATCGCATTACATGATAAAGTAATTTCTTAAAACAATACCTTGTTCATGGCTTGCTGCCTATATGATTTGCAGATCTCCAAGATAACCGAAGAAGGGGTAACTATTTCTGAGCCATACGCTCTAAAGACTTTCTGGGGTTTCTCAGCCTTCCAGAATCCGACTAAGGGTGCAGAAGGATCCTGGTAAAAGTATCCATCTATAAGCGGAGTAAAGAACTTGGTGCTTATAATTCCATGCATTTCTCATATTTGATACTACCCATCAGATTCTGCAAATGCAACATAATAACTATATAATCCTTCAAAGATATGCTTCAGTTGCTTTGTTTAGATTATTTTTTTGCAAGTTTCGAATGATTTGATGATGTACTGTTTGAATCTTTTCTCTATCAGATATATGCCACTTTTCTAATATACTTTTCATATAGAATTGCAAGGTGCAATTATCCCCTTATTAAAGTCTGGATATCTCAAATTCCATGATCTAATGGATGACTGAGATGTGTCAATTTCCATGGTAATTATTTTTTGGGGATTTGCCACTCCACCATACTTGCAATTACATTGCTGGACCTGTTTTACAACGGCGAAATTTTTTTAATTTTTTTGGGGATATTCAGGTCATTTAAGATAAACTCACACACAACGCATATACATAGACTCGAATCCTAGACCTCTTAGTTGAAATCCTGAGATCTCAACCAATAGGCCAAAAGAGAGCTGTATAAATGGCGAAACTTCGTGTACAGCTAATCTCGTTTAGGCTTTGTTTGGGACGGCTTTTTTATTGCTTCATAAAGCAGCTTCTTAGTATAAAAATTTAAATTTTTGTACTAGGATGCTGCTTTAGGAAGCAGAAAAAAAGTCGCCTCAAATAAAGCCTTAGTCTTTTTCAAGTCAACTTCTGTCTTACTCTTTCTATACTCTTTGGCAGTTGGGGGATGGGCGTCCAAACATCTTTTTCAGTACCCTATGGCGTAGGTCATATTGACCACTTTGTAATGAAAATATTATCCTATGATTACATCATAGGAAAAAAAAAGTCTAATCAAATTTTTTGTGAAGATTAAAAAAAAAAAGTCTAATCAAAATTTTTAGGCTAACCCTTTATTGATCCTCATGACACTGATGCACATGCGCATGTAGCTCCAAAGTAGTGTGCTCTCTTCTAAATATTTATTTATGTATTAAATTTGAAATATTAAAAAAACATTATAAAATATTTTATTAAATTACGTTTATGTTCAGTCGAAACCTATTAAAGATTTCAATATTCATAATTAGAATAAATTTCACAAGAAATAAGTAAAAAATTTTGCAGCTCAACTAAAGTGACATCGTAATTATATAATGCTTTATCAATAATGTGTTTACAAAAATACACTTAATATTAGTTGTGGTTATATGATAACAATATGAATTTATCAAAATCAACAACATAAATATTTCTTGAACTTGTGCAAATTAATAACATGGATTTCATTTATACTTGAACATGACATTAGAATGTAATCAATAACATGTTTACATATTATGCAAAATATGATTCACATGTAGATATCCCATAGCCTCATTGTATTTTCACATTTACTTATACCTCCAATTGATTATCTCATATATGTTCAAGACAGATAGAAGAAATACATATAGCCTGATTTTCTTTATAACCCATTTGTTCATCTCTCATCATTTTAGGACATATGTAGGAAGTATATTTATGCGTAGACTCATATAACTCTACTTGTATTGCATAGAAGAATATTAAACAACAGCCACTTATCATCACCTCCTTTCTCCACACATCCTCCAACACATGAACATAACATATCCACTTCATCATATGAACATATTCAACATATATGAATGACATTTAACATTATGCATGAATACATGAAAGTGTCACATATATGATAGTTCAACAGTATACTTGAAGTATAACTTGTACACATACTCAACACAAATACTTCAAAAAATTATATATGTGAAACATTTGCCGACCCCACGTAGTGGGATAAAGGCTTGATGTTGTTGTTGTTGTTGTTGTTGTGAAACATTTATAACTTCATTTTAAAGAATTTATTATACTATAATAATTTCTAGAAGCATTAGCTATTTCATATAAATACTGGAAATAGCGTACAAATCAAAATACTTAGTGAAAAGATACATTTTTCATGCTAATGTGTACAAAAATGTCAAACTTTAAAACATACGAAAAGTCAATGTTTTAAAAATCAGACTAGACCAGCCGATTCAACAGGTTGAACTATGAATCGATCTGCTGGCCGATCCAAATTTTTGTAAAAACTTTTTATAAACCGGCCGGTTCTTTCCAACCCGGACCGATTTAGCGGTTCACCGATTGAACTGCTAGTTCAATCCAGTTTAATCCGATCTGATGCAGAGCTGATTCTGTTGATCATACCAGTTCACAGTTAAATCTACCAGTCTGGTTTTCAAAACAATGGTAAAAACCGCTTTAAACACGAATCAAATATAACTGGCTATTAAACCGATTAACTAATGCCGGTTTCCAAAACAAGTTCGACTAATATTTAATTAAATGAAATAATTAATAAATCTATTATTAAATAGTTTACTTAACAAATTAATTTAAAATTTATATATTGTAATTAAACAAGCATAAAAATGCTTTATCACATGGCTCAAGGTTAGCATTGCCTTTATAACAATGTAGTGCCTCAAGGGAAAAGTCTTACTTAACATTTTGTTTTAAATTTTCTTGGAAACCCACGGAGGGGCCTATGCGTTAATATAAAATAAAAAATACAAGGTCCTTAGGGGGACCTACAGCTCACTAATGCTCGAAAGAGCTATAAAAAGAAAGAAAGAAAACCTATGAGCCGAAAGTCCTCTACTACTCCAAAAAACAAATTTTTTTGGATACAATCTAGGGCGGTAAGGAGGCATCGCCCAAAAAGAAAGATAAAAAGTAGTCAATCAGCATATTCTTTTTGTAAAAAAACTCAACCCCGCCACCGTAATCATCCAATCTCTAAACCTGCTCAAGGAAAAAAACTCCAACACAAGAAGTTAATGCAATAAATAGAATGATAGTAAAAAAGAGATTTGAATAAAACTAAAATATTATAATTGACATAACTAGATAAACTAGCCCACTAAAGTAGCAAAATTCTCTCATTATAAAAGTAGCAAAAGACAGCAGCTCCCTTAGTAACATTATTGGTCAAACACCCATATCTAATCCAACTGATAAGGAGAGTATCATACAAGAAATCAGGAAAAAAACCAAGTACCAGCAACCCACAAGCAGTCTACAGAACCAAATTTATCAGCAAATTGATCAGAGACATTGCAACCCAGATTTGAAGGGCTACATAACAGAATAGAAATATTATGACGAACATAACTACCAAAATTCAAGAACAAACCACATAAAATAAATAAACCACTTGACTCCCATATGAAAGCACCCCCAGTAGAAATTCCGAATGATCAGCAGAACAAATCAGATAGATGAACAAAGAGAAAACCTCGATCAACAACACTATAGTCCCCAAAACCTAACAGAGAGCCAATAACATAGACAGCCTTAAGCAATCACCATAACAACCACAGAAAGCGAAACCCAGCCGAACAACAACACTAATCGACATCCAATCAAAAGAACAAAAGATGAAAGGAACAACTCCCAGAACAGAGGACAAAAATCCAAAATAGAGAAACAGATCTACAAAGACCCCGCTCACCAAAAAACCACAGAAAACACAAAAAAACGCCAAGAACATAGTTACATGCTTCTTTTAAAATTCAAGTTACATGCTGCTTTTTTCAACCGAAATAAATCTTAACATAATTTTAAATATTTTTTTGGATATTAATGAAGCTAAATAACTTATAATTTTTTCCATATCTAAATTTGGGTCGTTAGGTGACCCAACAACTTTAGAATAAATAAATATAGTTCTACTCCCTCTTTCAGGCATCATTAGGGCTATTGTTGTGTTGCTTATTAAACAACCATATTAATAGTAGAAATGTGGCTCATACTCTTAATATGAAGTCGATAACCAATAATTTGGTAGGAATCCCCTACGATATAAATCAATTATGACCTTATCATATGTAAGATATGTTTAATTTTTGTTCTTTGAGCATGATAACCTAAACTTTTGACAGAAAAATGAAGGCTATTGACAAGCCATGTAAATAAAATACTTGTCTCCCTTGATGAATTCATATGTTAACCCCTTTAGCTCAATAATAATCTATTATATATCCACAACCTTTAATTGTGAATATTCATGTATGCATTATTTTTAAAAAGTAAAACATATAAAATTCACTTGGCAAAGATAGCCTAAAATATTAAAAATGGATATTATTTTTTGTTTAAAGCATTTTCACCAACACACAAATTTTTTTCACCAATATATTAAAAATAATACCAAAATATAACAATGAGATCACCAATACAAAATTTATTTCACGAATACATAACCAATTAACCAACATATAAAATTTTTTTACACTAATGCAAAATCATGTAAATCTGACCTAAATCATTATCATCTTTTTTAAACAAACTACTATGTAAAAGGAAAGCACAAATCTAAATAAAATTTTAAGACAAAAGTTAAATCTAAAAATTTCAAACCTTATTTTGAAAAAATCTAATGGATGAAATCTCAAATTGATTGAATAACTTTTAGAAAGAGAGATTTGCCTTTTATCTTAAAAATAATGGTAAATATGTAGGAAACTTCCCTGAAGTTACTGATAGTTTTGATTCCATTGAAAATTGAGCTGGTAAAGACGTTTTTCTTCTTGCATTTTTTGCGCTGGTAAAACAATTTTTTAGTACATAAAATTTCAAAAGTAACAAGAAAGCAGTACCCAAATAACACTGTGGTTGCAGTCTAAAAATACAATGCAAGAAAAAGTTGTATCAAATAAACCCTAAATATCAATTTATTTAAGAGGTTTTCAAAAGCTACTATTAGCATATTTATTATTAGGGTCCAAGGAAATATTAACGATACATGAATATTTCTATATTTATTTGTATGCAAATACATAATTTATATTCTTTTATTTATACATATCAATAGATTTGAATAAATTTTTTTTATTTAATATATAAATCAATCATTAATTTTTTTACATGTCCTACAAAAATTTTATTTGCACCATTAACAAATTTAATACAAATTCAACCGACTATTTAGAACATTAAGACATATTTTTTAATATGAATTAAGGTATATTTTAAAATTAAAAAAATAACTGAATAAATCTGTGCATTAAGATATAATTTCTAATATGCATGATAATTACTTTCACATAAAAGAATAATAATATTTGGTAATTTTTTGCAAGATTTAAAAAATTCTAATGATCTAATTTTAGTATGTATTTACTATCATTTTGATTATTTTATTTTTGGAA